GTACTTGTTGTGGTGGTAGACATTCAGCGACTGGGAGGTGTTCAGCAGTGAAGGTAATCAAGTAATCGTCCAAATATGCAAAAAGATCCAATTGAGACCAACTCACACTGTTGTGGCCTATTTATATGACTGTTGTTTGCACCATGATGATGTTAAGATGGTCATTTTTAGATCGCGAGGGTATTGTGTGGTGTATGTAGAAGGATACTGTTCTGTTCATCCATTCCGCACCCTACATACTCTTTCGGTCAGCTTCCAGCAAGCTCTCCACTTCTTTCTAAATTAGATTATTCGGAAAGTGATGCACGTTTGACCTCCATTTTCAAGAGACATATTTTCACTCAAATTCAACATTTTTTTATCGTAACAAAAACTATTAAAAAGCCCTAATCTTTCTTGAAAAGACGCATGCTAGAAAGTACTTTGCATGTTGGAATCAGCGCGGCGGACCCTGCGACTGCGCAGGACTAATGCTAGGGAGAAGAAGAAGAAGAAGACGTCGAAATCAGCGCTAATGGCGGCGATGATATCGTCGAGCATCATTTTCCATCAGTTTGAACATTGAAGCATTTCTTACTCAAGAATTTGTCGAGATAGTTGGAAAAAGGGGGTATTGGTGAGGGAGAGGTCCAGTGAGCAAGACGTGCAGGATCGAAACTTCGTACGCCAGTTTGTTCAATACATGCGAGGTCGTTCAAAGGATGTGTGGCTGAGCGCCTGCATGAAGAAGGCTTTGTTTACTTCTCTCGGTTGACGAACAGTGTTCCCAAAGCATCTCATCGGTATGCTAGAGAGACATCGGTGTTGTGTTAAATTCAACCGGTTTCCCAGTAGTTGCGTTGCATCAGTCCCGTGGACAGGCGATGTGCTCATGCTCAACTTTAAATCGTCTATATTTTCGCTTTGGAAACGTTTTTGAAGATTCATCGCGGTCAAACTATCAGAGAGACGGCTTTCTCTAATTGCCACAGAGTCCATTTTCCGTCGTAGATGACAATGCATTCCGAACACTAGTAGTTCTTGTTACGCAAAACCGGTGGAAACGACCTCTTGGGAAGACGGTATTGCTGCTGCTTCAGTCAGCCCATGTGGAAGTCACCTGTTCAGCTTTTTCACCTCTATTTATCTTCAAGAGCCACAATAATTTCAATATACCTACTTCTGGTCCTAATGCTTGCTATAGCACAGTTAGACAGGAGTCATCCTCTACGGGAATCAGAAGGCCGTTCCTCAGCAGCAAAGCAAGGCTTTCATGGATCCCCTCAACTCACTGGTGTGTGTGTGTTGTGTTTTGAACCAAAAGTTTGGACAGCCGTGCTGCGGGCTTTTGGAGGTGCTTTATGGGGTCCCATCCTTCAATGTTACTTTGACAGCAGGTCTAGTGGGGCCTACGTCAGAGTTTTAGCACATCGAAGAAAATTTGCCAAAACCACTGTTGTTGACACCTTCAGTTCAACTCTATAAAAAACCCCAATATAACAAGTAAACTGAAATTCAGAATACACTGGAGGAAAGAAGATAGAATATGCTTGCCAATGATATAGGACTTCAGGTCTCAAAATATTCCAAGTATGCAGGCATCACGAAACCGGCCATTTACTTTCCGAACAACCTAATTAGTTTTTCAGGTGTTGTTGCTTCTGTCTGTTCTTGTGGCTGGCCAAAGCTGCATCTTAGCTATTTTTTTGCTGAAAATGGTCACGAACAAGCGAAAGGAGTTATGTCTATGAGCAGACAGGTGCTGAGATATGCCGCAGGTGTTAGCTGCTGTCAATATCTTTTGTGTCGTTGTTTCTTCAAATCTTGATTCATTCGGTAATCCCTCATTAGAGCTCATTTGTTTATTTTTGTGGCAGTCGATAACATTTTTACTGTTTCTTTGCTCCGAAATATCCTTTTTCATGGAGTTTCGGTAGATAGCGGAGGAAATAAGAACGCATTTGAGCGATTTTTCCCAAAGCTGCGTTTTCAGGTTACATGGTTTTGAAGTGACGTTAGCTTTGGAGAGGTTGACTGGGCTTGAATCGACGGCGATCTTTTGATCAAGTTTTGTGCTCTCGTGACATTTCAGATTTCAGTTCACTCCTCGACCTTTTAGAATACGATTATCGTTTATCTTTCATTATAAAATACGTTTTTTAAGTTATAACGATAGATCGATAACTATGTGTTTCCAGCTCTGACGATGAATTGGATTATGAGGATGGTCTGTGCGATAACTGTGGGGAGGAATGTAACACTCTGCATACGATTGACGATGTGAAGTTGTGCTACGTATGCCGCGTTTATTACAAGTAAGAATTTACAATATTCGTGCATGGTTCCTGTTAGACCCTTTATGCGTTCAGGTTGATGCGTAAACATCGTCCGTGTAATTATGCGTCAACAGTAAATGAAGTTCGGCAGAGACGTGTTCGAAAATGCCCTGAAGGTGAGCGTTCCCTTTTAACCTCATAAAACGATTTATAGGCTTTTTTCCAGAGCCTCTAACTTTGCCTTATAGATATGCTCGAAATAGCCAAGGAATTTGTCGAAATGTCAACATATGTCGAAGAAAGACCAGGTAGTGACGATAACATCTGTGACGATATAGAAGTTGTTCAGTCAGTGAAGACGAGATGCTATGAAGAAACCAAGTGAGTTAAGGGCACTCTATCACGCTCGCCACCCTGGTCGTCTCCTTGTTATTTTTCAAAGATGTGCATGTAAATTTTTATATCTACATATATGCACTTTATTAAAGGTGGTTTCATAAAACTCGTTAGTTTCTCCTTTCAGGGCAGCTATGCGCGAACTAACCAGAGGTTCGTTCACGAGCTATCCGCCTTGAATGTACGCTGAAGGCACAGAGAGCTGAGGGGCTCATGAATGGTTTGGATAACTATAGGTTTGTTGGTCCTTCTCTAATTATTAATACCTGACGTTACATGGCTGCCATTATTTTGTTCACGAGTGGTGTTTTCATTAAAATATTTATGGTCGCAGGTT